ACCCTTCAGAAAGGAGAAAAGAAACCTTTTCAGGGCCTAGAAGGACAAGAGGGCTGACGTGGACAGGGACATTGGGAAGGTCAAGATAAGGATAAAATGGGACAGATGGGTTTAAACCTAGCCTATAAAGAACACTGTGCTGATGCATTACATGTTTTGGCAATGCTTCAGAGATTTTCATACACTTCACATTACTCTATCCACTATCCTGAGTGTGACACCGGGCCAAACCATCTCATTCTGAGCTTCAGTTTCTCTATCTGCAAAATGAGGAAGGTGGGGGCAGACTGGGGAATATTTCCTAAAGGTTTCTTCCTACTCTTATACTAGCAATTGGGTATGCATTCTTTCCTCCTAAACATACCAGGCCAGCTTCCAAATCTTTTCTTTGCAATTATAATTATAAACCTCTTTTCAACTTATTTGGAATGCCTCCTCAACACCTTACACTATGCTATGCACACAGAAGGTGCTCAACAAATGCTTTTCTGAATAAAATTCCCATAGTGGTAGAGTTTCAGGAGACAAATCTGAGCCTTATCATCCCACCCTCTCCCCTAAACACCCTCTGCAGTGGCCCAAGCTGCTGAAATCCTTCCTCAGATAATTCAGCCTTGCTAAAAACACATATCTAAAGTCAAAGTACAAATACAACTAAATAGTAAATAAGTTAGTGCCCTAAGTGCTGTAGATCCTGCCCTTCCTGCCAATGTGTACACACTAATTTCTAAGTAAAAAGTCTGATGACGGAAGCCTAGGAGAAGAGGGTAAGGAGTTCCATCAGTTCCTTGAGAAAATACCACCATGCACATCTATCTAAAGCTCTGGGAGGTGTGGCTTCATTATCCAAGCAGCAAAAGGTGCAAATTTCCACTACTCATCCTCTCTTTTGGACTCAGTGACATCCTCACAGCTGCGAAAACTAGGGATCCTATTTGCTGTAAACCTAACACATACATGAGCAGCCTTTCTCCCCTGCAAAGGACACTGTTAGCCTGAGATTTGAGTTTCAGTCCCAGTTCTGCACTGCTGAGCCATTGTTTCCTTTTCAAACGAGGACCAAATATTTCAAACGACCCTACACTATGTCAGCATTAGTATCAACACTTCATCATTCCTGTTATGAATTGATGAATAGGTTCTCTTTTTTAAATTAACTTTATTGGTACATTTTAGGTATACAATATAATGACATTCAGCATTGGAAATTTGGACCTTTACATAATCTCTCTTGGTTCTTTTCACCCTTCCCCTGCCCTCCCTTCAACCCCTCCATCCCTCCCTATTTACAAAGACTTTGTTTCCATTCTTTCATTTTCTCATATTAATTCCATTCCCTTCTTTCTTTCCCCTACCCCTCCCACTTCCCCTTCCCCCTTGCCCCTTTTCTTCCTATTTCACATTATCTATTATACCTTTTAGACCTTATTTACACTTTCAGTTTCTCACACTAGAGAAACTATTCGGTAGATGAATACGTTCTAAGACAGTTCTTGTGACCGTAAAGCAAGGCGTACAAGAACTGAGAAGAAATTTATCATGAAATAGTTCCTTCTGCAAAGGAAGGGCAGAGGAAAGCTATGAGCATTCCTAACAGAATATCTCTACAGCCAGGACCGTTTTAAGTCTCCATCTGCACATAAATACAAAAACTATATTACACAGTATTTCTACTGTGCATACACAAATAATAAGAAAAAAATAGAAGTACTCAGAAAAATCAACCCTTGACCGAAGTCATTTTATATCACGGTTTTCTTAAACATCAGAGGTATCCACCTTCTGTGAAATCCCACAGATTGAAATAAAGAGAAATACAGCTAAAAAGACCTACATTTTAAAAACTCAAAGTACACTCTGTTGCTGTGTTGGTAAGTTAGAAACTTTAAAAGCCACACTTTTTCAAATCATGGATATATGTGATGTGACAGTGAAAAAATACATTATGAGCCAAAGGTTTATTTTTGTGGTAGGATTCCTCTATCTTAAGAGTCCCCACCCATCCCAGAGTTTACAGAACATATTCTCAATCTCTCTAAAGATAACCAGATTAGAGGGAAGTCATGAATGGAAGCTGATTGTTCATCTACACAACTGTTGGGAAGGAATGTTGGGAGGCTCACAAGCAACAGCATAATGGAAAGGAGGTGGGAGAGGGAATTAAAAACTAAACAGTGACAAAAGCTCACACACAAAGACTTCATTTACAGCAGCAGGAATAACCCATAGAAACAGTCCAATAAAAAGATCACCTCTCAGGGCTGGGATTTAGCTCAGTGGTTTCACTGGCTGCTGCGCACAAGCGCAAGGACCTGAGTTCGATCCCTGGTACCAAAAAAAAAAAAAAAAGATCACCTCTACTTCCCTTAACAATGATCTCAGACCTCTTGTAGAAAAAGAAAAGCCTCAATGTGCTGGAGTGCTGAATACAAACCCAACAGACATGATCTGCTTATTAGGGTACTCAAACCAGAACAAGCGAAATGCCTGGCCAACTTCACAATTAGGGTGTCCTAATGACTGCTTGATGGGGTTTTTTTCCTATGCATGACAGCCTCATTAGTTACTATCAGGAAATCTTCAGTTTACAACTATTTTATCAAATGTACAGTCTCAATACTCCTTGGAATATTTTCTTTAAAAGAAAAGATGAAGTAATTCATATTGACATGATTGCATATCACAAAGAAATAAATGCCTCAGGGGGGCAAATGAAGACTAATGTAGGAACGGCATGCTCTCCATTACTAGCCCCAGTAACATTTCCAAACCATCAACATTCTCAGGTTAAAAGAATAAAATGTAGGGCCAGGGATTTAGCTCAGTGGTTTCGCTGCCTGCTGCGCAAGCGCAAGGACCCGAGTTCAATCCCTGGTACCAAAAAAAAAAGAGAGAGAATAAAATGTAAAGGATTCAGGGCAGTAGACAGGGGAGCTGGTAAAGGATTTGAGAATTTCCATTTTAAAATGGCAAAATGTTGGGGAAAAGACATATTTTTCCTTTCAGATATTAATGCTAACAAAAAAAATCCCCTTCTTCCCTCCACAGTGCTATCTCCTTCAAGGTCATTTATCATCAGCACAACAACCTACAGACATTTTATTAAAAGAAAAATCCCAGCCTAGGTCTGCCAGATCTTACCCAAGACCCACTTATCAAAAGTGTTGCTCTAGCTGACAGGCAGCTGTCAAGTAGCACTGAGGTAACATTACTTTATATGTACAAAACCCCATCACAAGAACAGTTCCCATTAAGCATTCCGATAACAGCACCTCCCTGAGCTCAGCTTAACATTTAAATGCTCACAGGAAGCCCTTGAGTGCATGAAACGATCCAAAATTTCCTAGCTAATTTTAACCCTATGTGGTTTGATAAAAAATTGAATTTAAAAATCACACGGCAACTAAATATTTAGTCCACCTGAAGAAAATACTTCGTAGTTTTGAGGGAAAAAAAATCAAATATGGCCTGAGCTATTTTTTTTTAAACTTACAATTTTCCGCTAAGAAAAATTATAAACTGTATTACTAGGAGGTTAAAATATTCCCCATAAGCAAGGTATTAGTGAAACTGCACTTAAGAGCAAGTCTTGGGCAACATTACTCCAACAGTATAAACAGTGGTGCACAGCATGCAGCCAGGTCAGAGCATACCCCTTTCCAAAGCCTTCTCCCTTTCATGCACAAATGAACCCCTCCCCCAAAAAAACAATTAGGAAAAGCAAAAGAGACAAAATGACCCTTTACTATTTTCTTGTTGCAAATTTTACCAAAATGTATCATCAAGACTATTTCACACCTCAAAGTTGCCATCTGGTCAGTATTTTAAAATGCAACCATCTCTAGGGTTTTCCAAGATTGAGGGAATCGTAACTTCTGCACTGCTGGGAAGAGTATCAGCAAAGGCTGCAGTCCTCGGTGGGGTTCAGGGGAACCCAGTAAGAGAGTATCCTTTGGGAAGGAGAGCTGAAGTGGAGAAGGAAGGGCTTTGAAAGGACGCTGAAAAGGCTAAGTGGGTTATTGGGAACACGAAGTTAGAGCGCTTTTTGGGTCCGAGGCTCTCAGCCCCAGCTCGGAGGTGAGCAATGCCTCGGTCTGGGAGTATCTGCAGTGTTTCAACAAATCAGAGCGAGGAAGAGCAGCGCCAAGAGGTACTTAAGGAGAAAAAAAATTGTATTAGAGTGGAGCCAACCTTTCCCTGTCTGCCACTCGGTGTGGAAATTCTGGGCAGCCCCCCGGCCCTGCACACACACGCGTGCACACATACACATACACGCATGCATGCAGGCACGCACTTTGCTGCACTCAGCAGCGTTTAGAAAATGACATGTTCATGATCCCCACCTACACACACACACACACACACACACACACGCACGCTTCCCGTACCTCCACACTCTGCAAGCAGTCACAGGACCACCCTGGCACCAGTCTCGGCAACCTCCCCACCCGCTTCGCAGCAGCCTGATTTGGGGTATCTCAGAGTAGCATCCTGCACCCAGTGCAGCGCCCGGGCTGGCCGCTCGCACGCCAGCCAAGTACGCGGATCTCGCTATCTCTGTTCTGTGACAGGGCACAGGTCCCCAAAGCCCAAGGGACGGCGCGGCAACGGTATTCCCGGAGACAGCCCGAGTCCTCACGTCCCCGGCGCCTCGAGGGCCACCCTGCTACGTCTTCTTCCCCGGCACCCCCAAAGGTCTCAGCCCTGCCAGATCAGCTGCCCCGCCGCCCCCATTCCCACAGCTGCCAGGCGCGGGTCCCCGGTACTCCAAGACCGAACCTGGGCTCCTCCCGCCGGCTCGCCACGCTCGGTACCCCGGCTGTCCCCACGCGCGCACAGACACGCGCTCGGCCCAACACGTACACCTGCACACACTTGGTGACGCCGGCCCTCCCGCATGCCCGGCACACTTGCGCCGCCCCACTGCCCCTCTGCGGGGACCTGGCGAGCGGATGCCCGGGCGCCCCTTCCCCGGGAAGAGCACGCAGCGCGGCGCTTACAGTTCGCAGGAACTGGATCTCGTCCTCGCCTTCGCCCCCGTCGGCCATGGCTCCGCGCTCGGAGCCCTGCGGAGCCCGGCGACCGCCCCTCGCGCCGTTCGCTCCTGCGCCTGCTCGCGCCGCTGCCCGGAGCCGGGGGCCGCGCTGCAGGTGCCAAGCGCCCCGCGGACCCCGCCTGCAGAGCAGAGGAGGCGGCGCAGGGTCGACCGAGGCGCCGGGCCTTCGTGCGCTGCACTGTGCGGGAAGAGGGCGGCCCGGACGCCGGGGACTCGGGGAAGCGGCCCCGCAGCGCAGCCCGGCAGCCCGCTCTGCTAGGCTCCTCAGAGCGAGGGCGCGTAGCCGGGTAGTGCGGCGGCTGGGGTGGGCGGGGGCGGGCGGGGGCGGGCGGCAAGGGGCGGAGCTCGCGAGCCCGGCCGCTGCAGGTAATCTGCAGCCGGGTATCGCCGGGGCCCAGCGCCGCTTACTGGCCGAACCGGGTATTGGGATCGGCGTGCGCTCCGAAAGCGCACAACCTTTCACCCGCGCCCTGCTGGGCCCCTGGGCGCTGCCGCCTTTACTTTGTGACCGAAAGCCCCGGGGAACAGAGCTCTTTCCTCCAGGACCCGGCTATGGCACTAGGCACCCGCTTCCATGGCACTTTGAATCGCACAGAAGATTCACCTTCCCTCCCGGGTGCATGGAGTTGGTAGACTCCTAGTCAGGGGTACCCAACACACGATATTTTACATTTGGATCCGTTGATTTACCATCAACATAGGGATTGTTCGATATTTACGTATAGTGCACCATGCTTTTCACAGATAATCCTACAACGTGTATGGTTTGGGCGCATAGAACTTTAATAAATTCATCCAATAAATATATAGTGAGCACGTATTTCAGAAAATGTGGTACAACACAAATGCTGAGAGTTTATAGTCTGATTTAACAAGGAATCGCAGTAAAGTATGGGATAATATTTATGAGTTTGAATCACTGGATGGTTCTAAACTCAGACTGCAGTATCTTCTATCCTCGCTGGAAGGAGCAAGTCCAGCATTCCACCACAAACATCAGCACCTAGTGCTCACCATCCTTCATGCAATAGCCCACCAAATCCCCATTTCACAAACAGCTATTACTTTTAAAATGCAGGGTCTGCGATGATTTGGACAAGAAAGCATGTATCTCTTGATAGTAGTCCACAATTCTTTCAAAATTGTCACTTAAAATTTTAAGTATATGTAAAGTAAAATTTCCAAATGGCAACCCTACAAAGAAGCAGAGACTAAATATTTAAGCATTAGTTTACTTACATTCCACATTCTGCAGCATCTTGTCACAAAATTGACCAGTAAGATCTATGCAGCTTACTTTTAATTCCAGCATTCATCAACTTTGTACTTGCTAGCCAGTGTTTGTGTATTTCCAAGAAAATGAATACCATAAAGAACATGTCTATAAGTACTCTCCCCCTGTGGTGAAACTAATAATGTTCTGCCTCATGTTATAGAATTGTATTCCTAATCTTACCTAAAAACTTGGCATATTCTTGTATCCATGGTGACTAGCCAAGTCTTAAATCATTATTTATGGGAAGTTTTAATCGTAAGAGTCCCTAAATGAGCTCACAAAAGATAAAGTAAAAGTTTAGGACTGACTACTGAAATTGGCTAATGATTTAATGCTAAATAATTTTATATTCTAAATTTATAACTTCAAATTGATCTTTTCAATTATTTTATTTAGAACTATGTACAGTTTCTTAACTAAAACAAGTTCTGGATGCTTGGGAATTTCCCCCATTCGATCTATATGTTAGGTAAGATATTGAAATTCTCATTTTTTTCATTTTGGTATTTTTAACTAGGCTATAAAATTTTCTGGCAAGAATTATATGTATTATTTCTTCAATTCTCTCAACATAAATGAAATAATCCTAAAGGGCCCAGGCACTCAATATTTTTACCTAATAAAGTCTTCAACAACAAATAGACATAGAGGAGAAGTTGTTTGTAAAATATAAACTTTATGTGGACTTTAAAACTCAAAAATACAGGGCCAGGGATTTAGCTCAGTGGTTCGAGCGCCTGCCTTGAAAGCACAAGGTCCTGAGTTCTATCCCCAGTACCAAAAAAAATCCCTCAAAAATACAATAATATGAGGTTTATAGATCTTTAATCAGGAAAAAAGCATGCAAATATGCTTAAGAAAGATACATAATATTTATTGTTCAAAGAACTTTTAAAACAAATATAGCAAGCAGTTTAATACTGGTTGTGATAAGGGTGTATATTACTTTGTACCCTGATATACTGACTGACATACTTCATAATTATAAACTTAAGATGATTTGTACAAGAAAAATATTCAGTGAAAGCTAGAAAAACATTTTAATTTAACTTCTGGAGGGTTTTGTTATAATTTCCTACTTTCTTCTAGTGAATAACTAAGAAAATTTGTATTCAAGTAGAAAGATAATACAATGAGAACTAATCTCAATTTTCAATATAATCTTAATTGAGATAAACAAATATAATTTGGATATCATGAAGTTTATGTTCAGTGTCAAATTCTTGAGGGTGTTTGTTTGTTTATTTGTGGTACCAGGGCTCAAACTCAGGACCTTGCACTTTCAAGGTAGGCAGTGGAACCACTGAGCTAAATTCCCAACCCTTTAATTCTTATTACTGTACACTTAGTCTGTAGAGAATTAGCAACTAGACATTTCCATAGGCACAAAACTATAGTTTATTAAATAGAAAATTTTCATTTACAGTTTTCATGAACATATAGCACTTGATATCTGTGTTTTGTAATGTTTACAAAAAATTTTTTTCTAAGTGCATATAACATAAAAGAGTTCATTTTTCTGTTTGCTATTGAAATTTGCTAGCTTAATATGGCTTTACTTTATTGAAACCTTGATATATTCAATAGATAACACTCCATTTTAGATCTTCATTTATTATAATATTTTAAAATTTAGAGTGTCATTTCTATATTTTTTTAGTCCAAATTTGGGAAGTGTTTTCCTTTGTGGTTAATTTTATGTCCTGCAAGAAAGGGAAAAAAATGGTTTTTTTAGTGAAGAGTTTTCTGCAGTCATCTAATTCAGAATGGGGCAACATACAGCACTGTTCACTTGGCAAGACCCCAGACATACTTAGAGAAGAAAAAATTAGCCAGATGTGGTAGCACATGCCTGTAATCCCAGCACTCTAGGAGCCTAAAGTAGGAAAATCAAAAGTTTGAGTCCAAGGCTGGGGATTTAGCTCAGTGGTTTTGCCGCCTGCTGTGCAAGTGCAAGGACCTGAGTTCGATCCCTGGTACCAAAAAAAAAGAAAAGAAGAAGTTTGAGTCCTGCCTGAGCAGCTTACCAATTTAGCAATACCTTGTCTCAAAATAAGAAAAGACATCGGGCTATAGCTCATGCACAGGCCCTGGTTCAATCCTCAACCACAAAAGAAGGATGGGGGAGGAGAGGCCCTAAGATCCTGAGATTTGCCCCACTCCTCACAAATGCAGATGAACAGATTTTAAACATCTAGAGAACATTTCATATATTTTATCCTCAACAAATCAAGGCTGTAAACCATTTCCATGATAGCCACGTCTTTATCACATGTACTATAAAGTGTAATTCCAATGTGGTCTTGTCCTAGAAAAAAAGAACCAGAATTTCCCTGGGGAATTGCAAGCTGGTCCTCAGGTGATGTGGCCTGAATCTCTGGGTCAGCATCACTGCATAGGGCCAGGAATGATGCTATAGATGGTGGTGATGGGTGTCTCAGTGAGCATTTGTTATGCTCAATCAATTTGTTTTTATTGTTTCTTTTTATTTTCACAATAATGTCTTTTTTTCAGTACTAGGGATTGAACTTAACACTGAGCTACATCCCTGGCCCATTTTTTATTCTTTATTTTGAGACAGGGTCTCACTAAGTTGCTGAATTTCCCAGGCTGGGCTCAAGCTTGTGATCCTCCTGCCTCAGCCTCCCAGAGACATATGTCACCACACCTGGCTAATATCACCATTTTATACAGAAGGAACCAAACCTTAGAGTAGTTATGGAGCTTGACCAAGACTATACAACTGCTGAGTGGTGAAGCAGAGATCTGAGGACTCCAGGTAGCGATCTTTACTATTACTTTGTGCTACTAGCCCATGCTGACCTCAGAATGGAAAGCCTACCAAAGTCTAGAACTCTAGGGATGGGGATTTAGCTCAGTGGTTTCACCGCCTGATGCACAAGCGCAAGGACCCGAGTTCTATCCCTGGTACCAAAAAAAAAGTCTAGAACTCTAAATGACTCTGCCAGCCCCTGGAGACCTGTCTCTGGTTTCTGGTCAAACCAAAACCCTGATAACTCTTGGAATACCAACTAATTTCTGGAAAGAAAGATCACTGTGTATTAAAAATAAAATTCAGCTTCTGCCTTCCTTCACAGTTTAGATTCCTAGGAGAAATCAGTTTTTCATGGCTTGACTGGGAAGTTGAATCTAGGACCCTCTGCAGATACCAAAATCATCTCTTGGTTACTTATGATACCTAACGTAGTCCAAGTGCTGTGTAAATAGTTTTATATTACTTAAAAAATAATGATGACAAGAAAAAAACCTGTACATGTTCAGTACAGGTGCTGTTTTTTCAAATATTTTTGGCCCACACTTGTTTGAATCCACAGATACAAAATCCACAGATACTGTAATGGAAAGGGCCCACTGTGATGTGTGTACATAAGTTATGGTATTATAGTTAAAAGGATGATCGCAACAATATCTGCAATTGCTAAAGAAAAGAGACACATGCTATGTGATCAAACATCTATCTTCTTAATGCCCACATGGAAAAACTTTAGATATTCCTCAAAAGTCTAAAACATCTATGGAACTTACTAAAATAGTCTCTCCTGTCTTCATCGCCCAGTCTAATCAAATGTCACATACATTGGATGTCCCCTACATATAATATACTGGATTTTTTTTTCTTTTTATCCACGAAGTCATACCTTATTCTAGCTTTTCTTGACTTACTATGAGAAATCCACCGTCCAGAGCAGAGGTGGTACTAGGACGGGTGATTATACCTACCCAATGCCGAGGGTTTGAAAAAGATGTAAAATCCAGGAGGTATTGACACTGATTTCTACAGGATTTTGCCGGATACAGGGAGAGCAGTGGTGTTATGATACAAAAGAAACATGTTTTTTGGGGCCGAAGATTTAGCTCAGTGG